CTGTGATGATTCGTTTTGTAAGAATTTTGCTAGATTCATCAAATACCAGTGTGTTTGGTAGGTCATTCAACAAATACCAATATGTTTGGTGGGTATTTCGTTATCAATCATATGATAGATTGACGAGACCAACTTTTGTTATCAGTTTGATATATTTTTTAAGATTTGGGATTCAAACTGACACTCATAAAACGATGGAGCTTGTGTTAAAGATCATAAGATTTATAATTGTTCTTTAGCATGTTTCTTATTTTCTACGGCTACAAATTTTCTTATAGTTATCTATGAATAATATTTCTCTCCAACAAACAAACCAGTGGCAAAAAATCTAGTTGAAAAAAAAGTCTACAACGTTGATAGGAAAAAAAAAATCTACCAACAAACGAGTACATTCATGAAATATTCTGGATTAATTCAAGATCCTGTCAAGCTCGGTCATAGAATTTACACAAGATCAAGAAAAGACTATATGTAAACATATTTTTCAACTTGAATTTTGAAAACAAACTATTTATGGTAATGATTATTAATTTTCCATTCATAAAACAAACTTTCAGAAAAATACGTAATATTTAGAAATGTTTAAGTTGAAATGGTTTTCATTCATCGCTTGAGCACAAATTGCAACAAGCAATTTAATCAGAGTATCTTCCAATACTAGATTAATAATTTGCATGATGAAGAAGAGTGATAGGAAAATTTATTTAAAGATTTTTCAAATCAGTGGAAGAACGAAAATTCATGATAAATGCATATGTAAATAGCTAAATGTGGCCATATCCATATGATCATTGTGATTTTCGGTCGTTTACATAAAATAAACGGTGGGAATATGCATCTAACGCAAAAAAAAACATAGATGCAATCAAAAGTAAATCTCGACGAACCGGAAAGAAACACAATTACGTAACGACGAGTAATTGTTACTATTCAAAAAAGCATTTGTAACAATTATTATAAAACATTTGTTTAACCAATTTATTTTTCCAAAAATGAAGTAAAAATTTATTGTCCCTTAGGAAACAAAAAGCTCGCATGGCTCATAAAATGTAAGGAAAATTTGGGAATGTTAAACAAAACAATTGGGTCAAAAATCCCCAAATTTATATAATTTTCCCGCCAGACTTGTCGAAATTAGCTTAAAGAAACCTCCTCGATTCAGTCTCAGAGCTCCTGAAATGTTATCATCGAAATTAGGGTTTCATTTTCTTCCTTCCTAATCGCATTGGAACAAGAAAGGGGAAAACGCCGAAATGGGTATTCAAGGGCTTTTGCCGTTGTTGAAATCAATCATGGCACCGATTCATATCAAGGACCTTGAAGGTTGTATCGTCGCCGTCGATACATACTCATGGCTACACAAAGGCGCTCTATCTTGTAGCCGCGAGCTCTGCAAAGGATTACCCACCTCGAGGTC